CCCTTGGGAGCCCCACTCACCCATGGGACCCCCATGGGATCCCCATTTTGGGGACCCCCCCCCGGGGATCCACCCTGGGGTCCCCCCATCACAGATTTTGGGGTTTCTGGGTGTTCTGAGGTGATTTAGGAACAGATTTTGGGGGTTTTGGGTGTCCTGAGATGATTCAGGGACAGATTTTGGGGTTGTTGAGGTCCCCAAGGTGATTTAGGGACCGATTTTTTGGGTTTTGGGTGCTGTGAGATGATTTAGGGACCGATTTGGGGGTTTCTGGGTGTTCTGAGGTGACTTAGGAACAAATTTTGGGGGTTTTGGGTGTCCTGAGATGATTCAGGGACAGATTTTGGGGTTGTTGAGGTCCCCAAAGTGATTTAGGAACAGATTTTGGGGTTCCTCGGTGTTCTAAGGTGATTCAGGGACAGATTTGGGGTTTTTGTGTGCTGTGAGATCCCCAAAGTGATTTAGGAACAGATTTTGGGGTTTCTGGGTGCTCTGAGGTGATTTAGGAACAGATTTTGGGGGGTTTTTGAGTTCTTTGAAGTCCCCAAAGTGATTTAGGGACAGATTTCGGGGTTTTTGGGTGCTCTGAGGTGATTTAGGAACAAATTTGGGGGTTTCTGGGTTCTGTGATGTCCCTAAGGTGATTTAGGGACAAATTTTGGGCTTTCTGGGTGTTCTGAGATGATTCAGGGACAGATTTGGGGTTTTTGGGTGCCGTGAGATCCCAAAAGTGATTTAGAAACAAATTTTGGGGTTCCTGGGTGCTCTGAGGTGATTTAGGAACAGATTTTGGGGGTTTTGGGTGTTCTGAGATGATTTAAGGACACATTTTGCGGTTTCTGTGTGCTTTGAGGTCCCCAAAGTGATTTAGGGACACATTTTGGGGTTTTGGGGTTCTGTGATGTCCCTAAGGTGATTTAGGGACAGGTTTTGCGGGTTTTTTTGGGTTTCTGGGTGTTCTGAGGTGATTTAGGAACAGATTTTGGGGTTTCTGGGTGCTCTGAGATGATTTAGGAACAGATTTTGAGGTTTCTGAGGTCCCCGGTGTGATTTAGGAACAGATTTTGGGGGTTTTGTGTGCTGTGAGATCCCCGAAGTGATTTAGGAACAAATGTCGGGGTTTCTGGGTGCTCTGAGGTGATTTAGACACAAACTTTGGGGTTTCTGGGTGCTCTGAGGTCCCCAAAGTGATTTAGGGAC